TATGTATATGTATATGTATATGTATATGTATATGTATATGTATATGTATATGTATATGTATATGTATATGTATATGTATATGTATATGTATATGTATATGTATATGTATATGTATATATGTATGTATGTATGTATGTATGTATTTTCCCACGTCATAGTAGTTGTGCTTTTAAAGTTGCAGCAACGTTTCGGCAGAATCTCATCTGCCATCATCAGGCTTCTGTATAGTGTCCGTCTGTGAGTCAGACCCCCACAGTTGTTTCAGTTTTAAATTTGGGGCAGCCTATTGCTGTGCCAGAATGGTTTTTTCTTCATCCTGATTGGTTGGGAATCTTGGTCTATGTTTATTGGTCTTGGAGTTTGCTGTGTTCTGCTTGATTGGTGTTTCTAATATCTTCTGTCTGTTTTGTGGCTCTTTTTGTATCTTGATTGGCTGGCAACATTGTGTTCCTTTATTGGAGGCCTTTTGTGCAGCTTGGCTCCGGGTAAATGGACGGCTATCATTTGTTAGGAAGCTAGGTTTCATCTGGGTGCCTGGTTTGAGCTGGAGGTATCAGGGGGGAACTGTTTGTGCCCAGGCGTTTGCCTGGCTAGTGGTGTGGAGATTTGTTTGCTTGTGAGTGCAGGCTTCCAAATGATTGACAGTCTGGTGGAATCATCTCTTCTATTCATGCTTTCAGGTCTTTTTTCAATCTCTATGGCTTCTCTGATGATTCTGTGGCTGGGTTTTTCTATAGTGGCTAGGGTTTTGGTGCCATTAAAGTTGATGCTATGACCTGTGGCTTCCATGTGTTGGACTAGTGAGGAAGTGTGTTCCAGCTTTTTGACTGCATTTTTGTGTTCATCCAGGCGGGTACTTATTCTTCTATTGGTCTGTCCAATGTATGTGGCCAGGCATGATGCACAGGGGACTTCGTATATGCCTAGGTTTTCCAGGTCAATTTTATCTTTGGGGTTTCTAAGGATGGCTGCTATTTTTCTGTCTGTTTTGAAGGCAGTCTTGATGTGATGCCTGTGTAGTATCTTACTGATTTTGTCTGTAGTACCTCTTATGTAGGGCAGGACAGCTGTTCCATAGGTCTGTTCATCTTCTGGGTCTCCATTATGTCTCAGTGTGTTTTTGTGGATCAAGCCAGTGATTTTGCTTTTGTGGAAGCCGTTGGCTGTCAGTACTTTAGTCAGGTGCATAGTTCAGTCTTTATGTGTGTCTTGTCTGCCAGGCGTTTGATTCTAGCAATTAGTGTTTTAGCCACAGAGTTTATCTGTGTTGGGTGGTGGTGGGATTGGGCGTTGAGGTAGCGGTTAGTGTGTGTTTTCTTCTGGTATACGGTGTGTCCTAGTGTGCCATCTGTTTTTTTGTAGATTAGTACATCTAGGAATGGTAGTTGTTTGTTTGTTTCCGTTTCCATGGTGAACTTGATTTTGGGGTGTGTGCTGTTTAGGTGTGTTAGGAAATTGTTTAGGTTTTATATATATGGATCTTTGGTTATTCGGGTTTTCTCCCGCGTAAGATTGGAAGTATCTAGGCAACGTTTCGATGAAGTCTCATTCATCATCTTCAGGCTTGTGTCTTCGGAAGAAGCAGCTGCAAGTTCACATTACTCTGAGAAGCACAGAGCTGAAGACACAAGCCTGAAGATGATGAATGAGACTTCATTGTTGCCTAGATACTTCCAATCTTACACGGGAGAAAACCCGAATAACCAAAGATCCACATACAAATACCCGCGAGAACCTCAGAAAAAATATATGTATGTATGTATGTTTGCATGTATGTATGTATGTATGTATGTATGTATGTATGGTATTCAGCTTTGTTCGGGTATTTTCCCACGTCATTGTAGTTGTGCTTTTAAAGTTATAGCAACGTTTCGGCAGAATTTCATCTGCCATCATCAGGCTTCTGTATAGTGTTCATCTGTATATAGTCAGATTCTGTATATATAGTCAGATTCTGCATGGTATTCTTTCCCTCAATTACATTCTAAATCATTTATTATTTCAAATGTATTAATCTATTCAATTAATTATAGAGACTGATATTAACCTTTCTATTACCATCCTCATAATTCATTTTAACTTTATTCTTCATTTTATTAAGTATGATTAAGTATAATTATTAAGTATGATTATGATTCTTATCATTTCACATTTTCACATTTATTCCAGTTATATCTATATATGATTTAACAGTAATCCTTAAAAAATCAAATAAAAGAAGTATCAGTTCCAATCTTTTCAATTTTAAAATCTATACTCTTACATATCACAACACATTACCTTGCAGAATCCCCTTTCCTATTCTTTATCTACCCATTATCTCTAGTTCTCCTAACTGCATAATTTCTTTTCATTTTTGTTCGCTTTCTACATCCCCTTATTTTCTGGTCCTTTCTCTTATTTCCCCCTTTTTCCTTTACTTTTTCCCTCCATTTCTTACTCCAGTTTTTATCCCCGTCCCTCTCTTGAGCTTTCTTTTGTAATTACCTTTTCTGCTGTTTCCTTTTTCTTTGTTTGACTTTCCAAACAATTCCCTCTTTAATTATCCCCTCAAGCCTCCAGATTTTAATTTTCATTCTTTTTTCCCCTTGTTTTAATGTTCGTTGTTCCATTTGTTCGTTAAGGCTGGCTTCTTCTTTGTTCAACTCCTCCCCTTCTAGTTCTCTTTGTTCTTTTTTGTTCTTCAACATTGCCATTTCTAATTTTTGTAATGCAATACTGCACATTTCCGTTCTTTCATTCCTTTATGCTTCTTAATTCCAATTTTATTTCCATACAAAGTTCTGCCATTTTTGTGCACTTCTTTTAATTTTAATTTTTCCTTTTTTAAAATGTTTAAGTCCAATCCAAATGTCCAATAATTTATTTCAACCAGCATCTCTGATATTTATTTTGAACAATCAATGTCCACAAATCTTTATTTCCAGGTTCTTTCTGTTAATTCCTCTTTCAATTTTTTTCAAAGTCACCAAATAATCTCAGGGTAATTTCTTCACACTTCTTTTTTACCTTTATAATATTCTGTTTTTTCATTTTTCAGGGTTTCTGTATTATTATAACAAAGTTCCTCTTCTTTTATATCAAGTTCCAGTTTAAAAAGGACCCATCACTTTTCAAAGAGTCACTGAAATTTTTCCTTTACCATTAGGTGGCAGTCTCTGTTTTATGTCCAAGTTCCACCCTTTCTTTTCACTTTCTTTCTTTCTCTTTTTAGGCTTTTAAATTCCAATAATTCAATAATTCCAATTATTAGCTATTATTTTAGCTATTATTTCTTTTTAACACATCCAATTTCAGCATTTAGTTATGCCTGTTTAGTGCCAAATCATATATTTATCCAGTTTAATTTTCAAGTCTTTTATAGACATTTTTTTCTTCTTTTAACTTACTCTTTCAATTTAGTTCTTTTCAAAGTTCTAAGCCACTTTCACCTGTTTCCAATTTTCTTCTCTTTCTCTCTCTAGTCGCTGCTTTTACAATCTTTCCTAAAAATTTCTTATTTTTAATTCCGGGGTATCCTAATGTCCATAAATTGCACCTGGCTCACACTTCACTCACAGCTTCTCTGCTCCAGCACAGTCTTACTTTCCCAGACTGCCTCCTGTCTTCATGGTGGCCAGAATTTTAAAATTTTAAACTAGACATTTTCTCTTAAATTTTGAAATCATTAAATGATCTGTTAGAATATCAAATTTCTCATTTTTCCTTTTAAAAAATATGTAGTAAAACCTCCTACATTTTCACTTTTAATTTTTTCAATCCACTCATGGGAAAAAACCTGATACTATTGTGATCTGCAAGACATGTTCCAGGTATACACTTATGCCCATAGAAGACCCAGACTATATATGTACCAAATATCTTCTAGTAACTATTTGAGTTACTAGAAGTAAAGCTAAATTGTTTAAAATAACTCTAACCACTCTGAAACTCAACCTACAAAATGAGAAACTTCTTCACAAAGAAGATAATGCCCAAATTGAACATAATAATGATAAGTATCTTCTAAAATAATTGACCTTGTAAATAAACTTTTAGAAGAAGATAACAAATGGAAACATG